AAGTAATTATAAAGTATTGAAAATATATTTTTGTTAACAACAAAGAATTGGAAAAGTGGCAATATTTATCCATTTGAATAAGTAAATCAAAATTAATTAATTTTACAAAGAAGAACTCAATGTAACTTTTGAATTCATTATGAAGCAATTAGGATAAATTAACACCGGCGTTTTCTGTTGAATGGAATAATGACCTGGCGGCAGGGCGGGAGGGGGGTGGCGAAATGGCACCTGATTGGCCGACGGCTCGGTGACCGGCAAAACTCGCGCGACAGGAGAAGCGCACGCTGTGGCAGACTCGCGCTTTGTCGTGGCCGGATGAGTTCAGACGATTGACCGGGGGCCGCGGACCCCGATGGTGCGAATCCTGTCCGGGCTAAGCAGGGCCCAGTTGAGTCCTGAGCAGACAAGCGAGACCAAAAGCACCCTCAGACGTTTCGCCTCAGGGATGATAGATTTCGAGGACAGAACTCAGGTTAGGAATTTTTGATCGGGAAATAAATTCAAGGAATCGAAATTTTCTCATGACAACGAGACGTTTGAATTTATATTTATGCGAGCGCCGAATTTCCCAATTAAAATATTTCAGTCGCTTTTTAATTGAAACGACACGCAGTCGGTGGTTGTTTTGAAACGCCGAATTCATAACACAGAGCGCTCGGTTGTATGGTAAGCAGATGGTAGATTTTAATAGTACTCCGCGCATATACACTTTTTGGGCGCACATAAAAAACCAAGAGAGTTTGTTCAGTTAGCGTGCTAGTGTGTACCACCATGGAGCATTAATAAATACGCTGGCTGCCAAGTGTACATATTTAGTGGCACCGCCAGTGATATATCACGCTTGTCATAATTCCACTCTGGAGAGAGACTGGGATGCGCCGCGCTCCAAATTAATAATCACTTTCATCAGCATCGCATTCGGTGGTAGCAAAACTTACCGTAGTAAGGGGTACATTTTTATATTTTTCTTCAATTATTATTATTAAATAGTACTTTTTTGTTTGAAGAAGTTGACACTCGAGGAGATGATCATGGAAATGAAGCGATCGGGCTTTTCCTCGTTGCAGAAAATTGTTTTTATTCAAAAACAAATGGCTCTACCAGTTTCGGTCACGGTCTGCGACCCTATTTCATGAGCAAATCTTTCTTGTATTAGTCAGCGAGCAGCGCGTTTGCTCATGAAATAGGGTCGCAGACTGTGACCGAAACTGGTAGAGCCATTTGTTTTTTAATAAAAACAATTTTCTGCAACGAGGAAAAGCCCGATCGCTTCATTTCCATTAAATAGAACGTTTTGTAATTGAAATCTTTTACCGAATTATAACATTTAATTTTTTATGAATTTTTAAGACAGTAAATTAAACTGTTTATTAAGATTTATGTACATTAGGTCATACGTACAACTTATAATTATATTTCATGGATATTGATTCCGAACAATCATTTTATTTTAATAGATATAATTTTTTAGTAATTTTTTACAATGTCAATTAAAGAACAGTCCATATGGTAGAAGATGAAATTTGTTTACAAAATTTAATTAATTTTGTCATTGGTGTTCCTTCAGGAACTATTTATAATTTGTGCATTAGTGGCTTGCTGCAAGAAATATTAAGTTAGCAGAAATAAATTAAAGAATGAAACAAAACATGAAATGAAAAATAAAATAAAAAATATTTAATGTTGGTTAATTTATTAATGTATATTAAAATAAATAATTTACAACATAAAAAGAATTTTACTGTAAAAAAAAATATAAATAACATGAAAACTTTGTAAATTTTATTTCTAAACATTTAATGGGATTCTGCATTTTTTACAGTCTTTTTAACTTTCTTACCCCTGTTGACGGTATTTCTCGTGCTTATTTTTCATCATCCCCCTCAACAGCTGATCCAACTCTCCTGCTGTAAAAAGATTCCCACAATAATTCCTGGAGCTATGCACGAGTTTTCCACCTAAAACCCAAACATTTGAATTTTTCATTTCAAACGACAAAAAACTATCATTTCACACTTGAAGAATAATTTTCTCTCATCTGCATCATCCCCGAGGAGCTGCTGAAAGCCTCTCGAGCAGGATGTGTGCCGAGAGAGCGCAGGCTGGTCTCACGGGCAGTCAAAATATTTGGCCGCGGCAATTAATTTGGAATGCTCTCTCGGCGGTCATAAATTTTAATAAGGGCGCGAGAAACGGCTGCTCGCGTGTTGATTTAATTCATTTGCCCTGCGCGTTTTAATTCTCATTCGCACATGAGTTGTGTGTTTATTAACCAGAGACGGCAGACCCTCTTGTACGGCGTTAATTAAGCGCTAAATCACTACCCAATGTGTTCCACTCTCGCTCTCTAAGTATATACCTTATTTTTATCTTATTCAGGGTTATTTGAATTAAAAATCAGCGCAATAAATCCTATTTAATTAAATTAAACTTATTCTGCTTTAAATTTTAACTTTAATTTTTTACTTTTATTTGAAATAATACTTTCCAATTTAGTTTGGTAGTGTCTTTCATTATAGTTTTTGTGACTCAAAGAGCTAAAATCATTCAGCCGACTGAGAGTCTCACGAATTAAAAGTAGATTTATTTATAGAATGACGTTCCCCCAACACGACGAATCGTCACATAAGCTATGAAACATCACATAATATCACGATGGCTAGTTAAAAATGCACATGACCGTCAAGTATTTATATGTTTCTGCGAATTTGACGGCGGTTAGTGAAAAAAGTTTCATAAAATTTTTCATCTCCAGAGTATTTTATTGCAATATCTAAAAAAAATGCAAAACAGTGGAAAATAACCTAGAAATGAGAAAAGCAGCATTTCATATCGTTCCATCTGCAAATCTGATGAAAAGGTTCTTATTCTTATTTTCCAAATAGACCATCATGAAAATTAAATTGCATTCCGATTAATATTTCATGCTAGAACTTATAATTATAATTTATTTGATTTTCGATACTATTTTCTAGCATAATTTACAAAACTAGCAAAATTTCTTATCTTTTTATAACACGACGTGAATAATATTCCAGAGCGTAGCGACGCAAGAAAGAAACCCTTAATTGAGCTTCATTGCGCAAAATCGTATAATATATTATGATACTGAAGATCACTGAAGGAGTCTTACATCATTTTCACTCTCGGACTTCTTAAAACCTTTCTTGACGTGACTGGTTTGTACAAAAACTTATTGGTTATAAACATAAACATTATACTCCTAGCAAGTTGTAAAAAAAAAAAAACAATTTATTAGGTTATCACAATTTTAATGCAAAATATATAATTATATTTTAATAGAATATGTGTATGATTATTTTTAACTTTTTAATTAATTGTCATAATAATCATTTTTTTTTTAAATTATATATTTATTATATTTTTATTATTATATTGAATTTTTAAATGCAGAACAAAGTATTTTATTTCATATTTCCGATTAGATTTCATAAGTATAGCATACAATTGAAAATTTATAAATAATGGGTGTTGTTCTTTTCATATTAATGTGTTAACAACAGCTTGATCATCCACAATGGGGAATAATGTTTTCTTTAAATCTGCTTAATTTCCTATTACTTTAAATTATTGATTAATGGCTGCGCAAAATGAAATTAATGTCATTTTTTTAATTATCATTACAAGTTAAATAACCAATTCGTTCAGCCGTTCACGGACGTAAATTCTGACCATGGTTGATTATTATGAGAAGCATAGCTGAGTTGGGCAGGTCGGCGGCGGCCGCATAGTAATCAGAGCGCGCCGAGTGCCCTCCATTAATTATGAATGACTCGCACGTTGGCGGGCCGCGCAATGAGCGGCGAATGATGGTGCACTCTTTTGGACAAACTAATTCACCGGCGCCGCGGCCCAACACATACAAACAAGCAAATTAACTCTCCTAATCTCGTCCGAGCAACATCTTTCATGAAACAAAGTGCGCGGCTTGACGAGATGTGCCACTTATCAGGCCGTTTCATCATCCGCTGCATCCCACCAGCCCCTAAATGAATTTATAAAAGCGACTGACTGACTCTTTGAGCGACGTGAGAAAAGGAAATGAAGGTTGAAGCCAAAGGCCGTGAGGCGCCGCCGCATTTGAATGAATTTCACAGCCCAAAAGGAAGCGGCCGCGCTCAAAGAGGTCAACACGTGCTTTTCATTGATCAAATTTTTCCAACTCGCTGCTGATTAAGAATTTCCTCATCAGGGCTATATTCAATTATTTTTTAAGGGTTTTCAAGCGTAATTTAATGTTTGAATGATATAATCAACAGCTTAACAACCTGGGAGCTATGTAAATTTAATCTATTTCAATTAATATAATCATCTTATGAGTCATTGGTCTTATTAATTAATGAAATCAACAGTACTGCATCAATATTAATGCGACTGATTACTAAATTTATTGATCAAAATATTGATTTCGTTACTTTTTTATTAAAAAAAAAAAAAAATACAAAAATATAAAATATTAATTTAATGCTACATTTATGTTTAAATAAAAGTAATTCTATTTTTTAAGTAAAATGTATTTTAAATGCGTGTGTTTTTTATTTGTGGAAACTAAATATAAGTAATACATAAAATGGTAGGTTTATTATTTAAAATTTGTAGAATTTTCCAATTCATGATTGTCTGCGTGGTTAGTTTGTTGAGCAAATCGCAGATGCTGCCTGAATGTGAGCAAAAGAATTAAATGTGTTAAAAGGCTGATGACATGTTTGAGATGAGGGGATTGCCATGATGGGTGGTATTTAGCGATCCATATATCGCGGTGACAGCGACATGGGCTCTTGGCCCGCGATCACTCGCCGCGCCTCGTTATGATCACTCGCGGGATTTGCGCTCATCAAAGGAAGTGCCTAGCGCGCTGTGCGCTCACCAGCGTTTTCTATCTTCATCTATTTGCCACTGAAATCTTTTTCAGTTGCTATTTATAACAATTTTTACGCTTTTTATTAATCTAATTAAAATTATGAATTTTGTTTCAGGTCAAACGAGCACGAACGGAAGCTCCTGAAAACGAAGTCCCAGAAAGAAGCAGGTACGATTATTCAAAAATTTTTTTAATGGAGATTAAGAAATTTAACAAACAAACCCACGCGTCTTTTAAAAAGTTTCTTTGCATTTGAGAAATAAATCGAGAGCGGAATTTATTTAAAGAGCCAGCGCGGGCTATTTACCAGAGCTGAGTTTGACAAATTAGCAATTTAAAATCGCTCTGGCTGCTTTGCCAGCGAAGAATTTGGCCACCGCGGAGCTGAAGAGAGCGCCAATCTATCCCCGTCTTTTCAACAGCAGCAGGTGCGAATGTTTCAAATGGGTCGTGTCTCTCTATGCTGCGAAAATATGATTATAAATTTAAAATCGGCCCGCGACTAGCTTTTTTCTTTTAGAGATCAGCACGCGCCAACGGCAAACGAATTAATCGGCAGCAATTTAAATGAAAGCGAATCTGCTTTTCGCAGGGGCACAAAGGAAACGCTAATTGCGCCCAAGATTAATCACCGCGCCACTGTGGTAGGTAAAAGTTGGCGATTTTTCTGCCCGCGATGAAACGAACGCGTATAGGAAAGAAAATGAGCAGCGACTATTTTTTCTGTTTTCCATTCGCTGCAGCAGCGCGCAAATTAATGAAGTGTCACCCGAAATTATTTCAAGCCACCAAAAGCAGTATAATTATTTACAGCGGGTCTCTTTTGAAGTTTAGTCAGGGCAGAACTGAACAAGCCGATTATACTTAAAAAACTTTTTAGAATGCTCAAATTGGTGGATCCTATTTTTGTTATAGTTGCAGTTTGTTATTTCTTAAAAACTGTAATTTCCACTAGAAAAATAGGTGATTTTAATTAAGAGAAAAATAGGCACCTATGCATTAAGTAATTTTTTTCGGCTGAAACAGATGGTTTTGGTAAAAAAAGCCAAAAAGGTGAATATTTTAAGCTTAATAATTTATTAAAGACACTTTGCAACTATAATTTTATTATGTTTTAAGGTAAATTAAGTTTGTTTTGAATAGGCTAATAATTTTCTTGAAAAATGTAAATTTACGTGCAATATCTGAAATTTTAAAATGGTGATAAAAGTTGAAATCTATTAAAATTAGGTGATTTTAGGTGAGAAAAAGGTGATCACCTATTTTTTCCACCCTTCACTAGATAAGTCAAAATTTTAGAGCTGAACAATTAAAAAAAATCGCTAGAATTTCGTAAAAAAAGAGCTTTTTTTTCTAAAACTCGATCACTGTGGGGGCGCGTGTTGTGCTGTTTGGCGCCAAAGAGGCAGTTGGTGATGAGCGAGTTGTTGAACATGGTAACATCACCTTTGTGTGTATAATTAGTCGGCAAATTATTTTGTAACCGGGTCCGCCACCGAAGAGTGAATCAAAACCCTGGCTGGCGCAGAGATGGATGGGTGGTGTGTGTAAGATCAGACCGTGTTCGAGTAGTGGCTCTAGGCATTAGACCAGATCGGGTTACCCCGAAAGTGAATCTAATATCTATGTGTGTTAAAAGCCCTGGGTCGCGAGCAAGTGATTTAGCGAAACATCTCTAGCCGTCGACTCTAGTAAATTATACTGAGAGAGACGAAAGTGTTGAAGATTCTGCGTTTCAACTGAAACGCTCGCTGTCTTGGCCCAAAACCGTGTTGTTTTATATACCACGGCCGCTACTGCTGATCCGGTTTGGGTTTCACTTAATTTGCTGCCCACAAACACTGTCTTTGATTACATTGTAAACTCTCAGAACTTTGAAACAGGATGAATTTATATCATAAAGTGTTTGTTTTCAAGGTTTTCAATAAATTGTTTCCTTTTTTAATTTTTTTTTTTGCTATATTACTGAATTTTTGAGTGGATATCTTTTGGACAAAAAAAGAACCTGCTCTCTTGATGATAAATTGCCGCTTTGGCTAAAGGATGCGCCCCCGTCTCATTAAAATAAGGGGTAACAAGTGTTCTCGGGGATGAAATGAGATAAATTAGGCAGAAATTCCGGCCGCTCCTGTTGCAAGATTTTATTTTTTACAAATAGGAGCGGCCGGCGCTGAGAGACGTTTTGTTTTTTGGAAAAGAGGGGAAGCAGCGAAAATTATTATTGTGTGCAAGAACGAGAAATTTTGGGAGCACACACAGCATTCACACATCTCGCACAGAATCCATCTGATGGCCACATGTGTTTTCGGAGCTTAGGGAAGCTGCAGCGACCGACCGAGAATGCAGGCAGGCGCACAGCTATAGGCGCAACGCTAAAAAACAAGCCAATGTATAAAAAAAATATACATTATTATATTTATATACGCGCCGCACCAAAAACGCCAACTCGAAGACAGGAAAATTTTCAGCTACAAAAAAAAAGATGCGGAGCGCAGACCGCAGACACTTGCCGTCTGTTTTTGTCAAACGAGACATTACTTCGTGCGCTGACGTTTTGACTGGAAAGTTTTCATTTCGGATCCTCTTTTTATGAAAATATGCAAACTTTGACAGATTTTGATCATTTTGTGGTTTACAAAAGAGTGGAGAATTTTTATCAATAAAAACTTGAAAGAACTAAAAATATTTATATAATATATTCTTTTTTGTATTTCATAAATTATTTGGAAAGATTGAATTCCCATAATAATTTTTTTAATTTTTTTTACCTATTCAATTGAATTTTTAATAAGAATAGAGAAATTTCTTGATTTTTAGTTCTTTGTTATGCATTTTCATTTAATTCATATCAACTAAAATTTGAACACCGAATGTTGGGCATCAGTCTTTTGTCACCCCAACCACGCATTAGAGGATTCGCTATAGGAACTAAATTCATTTTTTTTTTGTGAGTTTAATATATTTTTTTCTTCATCGGCGGGCTTTTTGAGTCTTGTCGCCGAAACACAACATTCTGCTCTACAATTTTTTTTATAAAAGAAAGCATAAAATTTGGTAAATATTATGATGAAATTTTTCAGAAATTTAAAAATATCAAATGAAACGTTTTTGTTTATTATTTTTAGACTTATAAACGTTTTCAAATTCATCAAGTTCAGCAACTTCATAATTCATACAAGTTTGTCTTCAGGTGAAAAGTTGACTTTTTCTCTCATCTGATTTTAATTTTAGGAATTATTTTTGATCTGAAAAAATCTTTTGAGACAAAGGGAAGTTTTAAAACAACATTTTTTTGTTGGCGGGCAGGCGCAAGCATATTATTTGTTTTGACTGGCGGGAAGTAAAACTGGAAAGTTTTGAATATAACAAAAGCGTCGCGCCGCCGCCGCGCGTGATTGAAGTTTTGAGTGACGCTCTAGACGAATATTTATGGGCTCGTCACCTGGAGCCGCGCGATCTATTAAAAAATCGAGAAGGGGCCAAATAAACAAAGCATCAGCGGCGAGATAAACACTCACTCTTTATTGCCCATCGCGCGCGACCCAACTCTCGAGATTTTATTATATAAACACATAAGCACAAACTGCCGGCCGGGCCGCGCACTAATTTGTTTAATAGCTTTTTCTATCAAAGGCACTCTTTCATCGCTCCACGCACATTACGCACGGCCCTCTGCTCTGCATGCGTCCATCCGGCAGCACGCGTTTTAATTATCGCTGCCCTGCATCGGCTGCATCCATTAATTGAACAAGCACAGCTTTTTTCAACACACACAGAGTTTTAATTTTCAATTAATTTTTTAGCGACTCATACTCATAATATAATTAAACAGAGATAAAAAAATTAAAATTTACATTGAGTGTGTTCTTTTTGTAATTATTAAGATGTTAACACATATTAATCTTAAAACTTTTATATTTTTTATTGATTTTTATATTTTAATTCGTTATTTTAATAGTTTATTGCAAATACTTTAAAATATTTTAAATTAATTTTGTTTGCCAATTATTGTAGATAAATTTAAATAAATTGCATGGTTAACACTCAAGGTGGCTATTTTTTCAGTTAATCTTTGCAACAATTTTTGCCCTGCTTCAAATTATAAATAAATTGATGACTTTTTTCCAAGTTATGTAATTCGCTCTTGTGAGTGATGCGAATTTCTTCAAGCTAGCCTACGTGGAAGTGAAGTAGAATTTAACTAATGTTATATGTGGGTAAAAATTAATTTTAACCAATGGCGCGATGGCAATTAATTTTCCAGAAACACATGTCATTTTAGCTTTATTTAAAAAAATATAAGAATTGTTTTACTGGAAATGAAGAGATCGGGCTTTTCCTCGTTGCAGAAAAATTGTTTTTATTCAAAAACAAATGGCTCTACCAGTATTAGTCAGCGAGCAGCGCGTTTTGCTCATGAAATAGGGTCGCAGACCGTGACCGAAACTGGTAGAGCCATTTGTTTTTGAATAATAACAATTTTTCTGCAACGAGGAAAAGCCCGATCTCTTCATTTCCATGATCATCTCCTCGAGTGTCAACTTCTTCAAACAAATTGTTTTACTGTAAACTTTAATTTTCTCTTTTGATTATCAAAAGGAAGTTGATATTAATTCAAGATTTTTATGAAGTCTAGACTTTTTTCAGTTTAAACGTGCATAATAAATAATAATACCGCACACAGTAAAGGATTGAAGGGTAAAAACTTTATTAGAGCCTCGTGGATGGAGTATGAAAGTTATAAAACTGATAATTTTTAATTTTATTTTCGATTATGATGGCTAAGGAGCGGGCGTTCGTCTGTGTCGGCGCGTAAAAAATTAAGCAGGGTCATCCTGTGTAAGAGGCACAATATTGTCAAGTGCGTGATGCGAAGGGAAAAGTCGGTGGCAATGTTTATTCTCGGGAGTGCTAGTCAGACAGTCCGTCAAAAAGGAGTCGGTCGGGCAGGAGATGAGCAAACAGTTGACAGGAGCCGACTGCTTGTCAACTTCACCGCTCTTTGAACGCGCACATCCCAGAGCAGCATTAATTTTCTGGGATAGATAGATCTATGGGCTATTAAAGTGGTGTTCTGCTCCTCTCCCCGAAAAGCACACAACACACATGTGAAGGCGAATTTAAAAAAAAAACAGCTTGCCTTTCAATCAGGCACATTCAAAACTAATTGTAAAAGATACATTGATAAATTGCTTTTTATTTATTTTAAAAATTGAAATAAGCTAAAGATATATAATTTAAAAAAAAATTTATGGAAGCATTGAATTGTGGGACAAAGCGGTACCACCACTATAAAAATTCGATGATTATATTAAAATTTTTCAAAAGTACTATAAAAAAGGTTTTTAAGAGGTTTTTACGTGGATTTACTGAAACTGTGCGAGAAACACTTGGCTTTAAAGAATGGAATATACAAACCAAAATTTTGACTTTTAATTGAGAAATTAATTTTTAAAAGTGCCTCAAAAATTAATATTTTTGAGTCACAAAAAATCAAAATTTCAACACTAATTTTAACAGAAAAAACACACGCACACTTAACAATTATCTGAGAGTATAAAAAAGGTGTTCATTATTGAAGTGAATCGTTTACTTTTACATTTTAGGGTTGATTTTGACTTTTGCAGATCACTAGAGCCAGCAAGCGGCAACATTTCGAGTCCAGCGAGCCAGTCGGATTCGACCACTTGCGGTTCGCCGCCGTCGGCCGCCACCAGTGCGCCTCCGAGTTCTCAGCAGCAGGACAGCGCGGCCACCCCGGCCGTCAGTTCGGCCGCCACACCCGCGGCCACGGCCACCTCCGCGTCGTCCATTGCTGCCACCCCTGCCCACCTCACCAATGGACTTCCACCCCATCACTCTTCTGCCTCTCAGCCTCCAGTTACAGTACGAAGAATAACCTTTTTTAAATTTTTTCCATCAAATGAAGTAAAATACCTTAAAAATTAATAAATTTTTTTCCCAAACAAGTCAGTTATTTATGGTTAAATTTTAAATTGATGATATTGTATTGTTTTGGTGTTAAACATAATTTTTTGTTCCCGTTTTATGTTTCAATTATTATTTTTTAATCAATCGTTTAAAACTCAATTTGAAGGGTCAAGAGGGAAGTTCTGTGATGGAAGCTGGCAGCTCGACCTCCCCGCACCAAGCACCTGTGACGTCATACTCCAGCACCTCCTGGGCAGTGGCTGGAGATTCGAACGGTCGGTGTTCTTTATCTGCAATAATTCCACCCCTAATTAACCGCAAACTGATTTCACCCCTTTAGCAGGCGACCCGATCAGCTCATACACCGGAGAAAAAGACTATCACCAAACTTCGACGTATCCTTCTCAGTATTACAACAGGTCAGTGTCTTTCATCCGATTCCATTGAATGAAATTATACTTACCTCTATGATTTAATTTTTATTTTAATTCCGTGAAAAATTTCGCGTGTCTGCAGCATGAGTCAAGCGTACGGCGGGCAAAGTGCTGCGTCGGCATACATGCAGAGTCCAGGCTTCTACTCGAGCCATCAGGCGCAGACAGCATCGCCTTACGGAATGCTCTCGTCGAGTTACGGCTCCGTTGCTTGTGAGTTGCCCCTTTCTTTATTCATAATCGCGCAGAAAGCAACTCTCAGCTTTCGCGCATTCTTGCTGAACAATGCAAACACAAACGACGCCTTATTTACGAACAAAAAACTTAAAATTATAACAAAAATTCGTCGAAGAAAATTTTAATTTTTACTGGAAAATTTCAGCGCGTGGATTAAGCCAGTCGTGCAAGGTGAGCTCCAACCTGAGCTCTGCAGTGGCGGCGGCCGCCGCGGCCAGCTACTTAGGCAGCCCCTACTCAACGGCGTTCGCCAGCAGCGCCAGCGTCCAGGCTGCGCAGCCTCCGGCGGCTCATCCGTACTCATATGGCAACAGCAGCTACTCCGCTTCAGGCGTCTCCTCCACTTCGGGATCGTTTTCTGCCAACGGCACCACCTCCTCTCAGCCCTTTGCATCTCAGCAGGTGATTTTTCATAGAAATATTTGTAATATTTTTATTTCTTTAAATATTAAATTTATTATTAAAGGCTGCGAGCAGTATGGACTACGGAGGCTACCCCTATACCCAGGCAACAGCCGGCGGCTACCCTTACTACCACCCTCAGTCAAGCTACTCGCCCTACATGACCGCCTCGTCGGCCGCCTCTCCATCCAGCAATGGCAGTGGCAGCACCAGCGGCGGCGGCCTCTTGGGCGCCAGCAATGGTTCCTCCTCATCGGGAGGCTCGTACCACTTGGCCTCTCTCACAACTCAACCTCCCATTTCTGGTACACTTGAAATTTAGATTTCCATATGCATGAATGTATTTCTTATATTCGTATCACAGCTGACAGTCCTAGCAACTACACTTTGGCAGAGGCAGGTCCAAACTCTCCAGTGAAGGCTGGCTCGATTCCTGGAGGGTCGGATGCCAACGGTATTGGCAACAGAAGGACATCAGCAGCGTCCTCTAGAGACCCAAATGGTGCAGAACGTGAGTCAAAATTTTAATTAATCCTTTATATTTAATTTTTTTTTTAAACTTAATAAAATTGATATGAATTTTTCAATGTTCTTTTTTTAAATATTTATAATTTATTTCTTTCAGCAGCTGCACAGGCGAGTAGCAGAGCAAGCAGGGGACGCAACCGCAGACAGAACAATCCCTCACCTAGTCCTGAGAGCAACTTGGAAAGGGTCTTTATCTGGGACTTGGACGAGACAATAATCATCTTCCACTCGCTGCTCACTGGTTCATTTGCAACCAGATACGGAAAAGTATAAAATTAAATTTCCTGTTAGAACCAATAGATACTAATTTTATTTTGGCTTGCTTTTAATAAAGCAGGACACAAATGGTGTCGTCCAGCTTGGCTTCCGAATGGAGGAGATGGTGTTCAGCCTTGCAGACACACACTTATTCTTCAACGACGTTGAAGATTGTGACCAAGTTCACATTGACGATGTAGCTTCTGATGACAACGGACAAGATTTGGGGTATGAAAAGTTTTCTTTTATCTTTTTATTTGATTGAAATTTTAGAATTTTTTTATATATGATTTGTAAATGAAACATTTCTATAAAAGCATTCGCGTGAACAAGTGGAGCAAGACTATTAACATGCGCAGAGATCTTGTTAACAGCACCTACAACTTTGCCGCCGACGGCTTCCACGCTGCCGCCAGCAATGGGAACTTGTGTCTCGCCACTGGAGGTGTCCGAGGCGGCGTCGACTGGATGCGCAAACTTGCTTTCCGCTACCGCCGAATCAAGGAGATGTACAACAACTACAGGCACAGTGTCGGGGGTAATTTTTTACAAATTTAAATAAAAGTTTGTTCTTAAATTTAAATTTTCAACAGGGTTACTCGGCCCCACCAAAAGGGAGCAGTGGCTGCAGCTACGAGCTGAAATTGAGGCTGTCACAGAAAACTGGCTGACCCTGGCCATCAAGTGCATCTCCCTAATTAACTCTAGGTAAATTTTACTTGAAGTTTATTATTGCAATGGGTAGTTTAAATACTTTTTTGTAGACCAAACTGTGTGAACGTCTTGGTGACCACAACTCAGTTGGTGCCAGCTTTAGCCAAAGTTTTGCTATTCGGACTTGGAGGACTCTTCCCCATCGAGAACATCTACTCAGCCACCAAAATTGGTGAGATTGAAAATTTTCTAGTGTGGGAAAAATTCTGATAATTTTATTTTTACAGGCAAAGAGAGTTGCTTTGAGAGAATTGTGACGAGATTTGGACGAAAATGCACTTATGTGGTCGTTGGAGACGGACAAGATGAAGAAGCAGCTGCCAAACAGGTGGGATTGAAGCAAAATTAAAATAAATTACATTTTTTCAACTTTAATTTTTTAGATGAATTTCCCATTTTGGCGCATCTCGAGCCACAGTGACACAGCTGCTCTCTACAATGCCCTGGACATGGGATTTCTCTGATCGCCTCAAATGTGAGACATCGTCGCGCACTTCCAAGCTCTCTCCGTTCTATACCTAGGCTTATGTTAAATGATTTTGTGATCACAGGCAGGGACTGATCAACCAATTTGTCAATGGCCAGCCGACCAGGTTCATTTACTTATTGTTACTATGCTATTCACAAGAAAGATAATATGTACTATTTGACACTTTTGTTAAGCTTAAATCTATATTTGAATATTATTTGCAGATCTTAATGAATAAATAAATAATGAAAAATGATATATTTATCAAAGCTTAATATGTAGGCGTGTTAAGAATGAAGATCTCTCATTTGTAAAATGTCAAGTTGATTATTTCACCTTGTAAATGAAAGAAAGCTCTGCAACTGAACCAATTGAAGATGGAAACCAAATCAAGAGCACGTTTGTAAATATAGTGATAAGTGTCGTCAGTATTTTTAGCTCATAGCGCAAGTCACTGCAAATCACGTATGGAAAAAGGATCGCAGCTTCCTTTGTCCTCCGCACCACCAATTTATGTCTTTAAACTAAATAGCAACAACTGAATGCATCAAATGTTATTTTGTAAATTCAGTGTATATATTAAGGTGCCAAAAATAATGTGCAGAAATTAAAAAAAAAAAATCAATAAATAATTAAAAGGGTGTTTGTGTAGATATTCGATAGGAATATTCAGTGATATGACCACATGAATTATGAACTTGAGATTATCCCATGGATTAAAATAAAGATATCACGAAAATATGCAACAGACTTGAAATTGTATTCTTAATTTATAGTTTACTTAAAAAACAATCAATGACCTACATTAAAAACAAAGTTCGTTCCGCAGGCAGTTCAGTCTCGCTTGTGCTTTCCTTGGGAGAGCTTCTTCAAAACCCAATTCTTAATTGTCTTCAACGACATCAAAACTGGAATCATGACTGGCAGGAACAGTGGAATATAAACAGCGTACCTGATAGATAACATAATTAATATAAAAGCCTTGTAAAAAGAAGTTTTTCGCTCACTTTTGGTCATCAGGGAAGTACAACAGAGCTAGAAGAGAAGGATCAGTGAAGGCCGATTCCGATTCCAAGAAAGCCACTCTAGAATGATCAAATCCTTCCTTCAATTTGCCTTCAGAGAGCAATTGCTCTGCACTGTGCGCAGATTCCGTGGCTACGAAAATGCTTCTGCCCACCTCATCTCCGATCACGATGTTGCCAATTTGACCCAGAAGTTTTGCTAAGGACTATTTTAAAGGTTAAAACATGAATGCTCACTGGTAAAAGAACTAACCTGCAAAGTAAGTGTGGCTGAGGTCACTTGTTCCAGGGCTCTGGTTCTCATCAGGGAGTCAATTTCCCACAGCCTGGGCTCTGCCTCCATCAGGGGTAACATTTCAGCAAAGTGAATTGGTTCCTGAATTTGTAAAATTTTATTTTATTTAATTTAGTTAATCTAAAATTTACCAATTCTGGAATGCCTAATAGTTGCCTTAGTTGAGCCAAAAAGAGACCCATCACCTTCAAGGTTGGAACGTCCATGTCGATGACCTCATCACTTTTACAGGCGTAATTGGGAGGGTTGAGGACAATCAGGCCACCCCACCGTGCTGATATGATTGCGTTTGTGGGCACAGGCTGGCCCTGCTTTGTGTAAAAATGTAGAGGCGCTTCAGTGCAACCAGGAATGTACAAGACGAGACACAACGAGGCCGATGTGGAAACATGTGAGCCTGCGAGGAAGTTTAAAATAAAAAAAGCTATAATTTCAAAGGAAAAAAGACTAGACCTATTTTCTTTTCCAAAGGAGAAATAATTTGAGGCAGAAGCTCTTCCTGAATTGCATAATGAGGTCCGAGCTCTTTAGTATTGACGGCTTTTTTTCTCACTCCCAGAGATGCAAAATAAGTAACCTAAATTCAAAATGTTAAACTAGTATTTTTCTTATAATCTTGTTTATATCTACCTGAGATTTTACTGAAAAATTTGAAACACTGCTCATCTCATCCAAAAATGGTTGCAAGTAATCTGAAAATTTTAGTTATGATTCAATTTTTTTTTAAATAATATTTTTTTCAGCCACCTTCAATTGCAGCTGTGATGTCCCAGTCTACTCTGATTTCCTCTGGAGAAGGCACAGCCAAACTGAGCAAAATGTCCAAGTTTCCTACAGTCGGAGGGACTCGAGTTCTCGCTTCTTTGCCTTTTCCAGCCAAAGTAGGCGCCCTCATTGCTTTTAAGGTCTGGGTTATTGTTTCCTCCCTCAGCAGCCACTCATTCAAAACCATTATCAGTTTTTTGGAACCTATAAAAGGAAAACCATATATTATTAATTTAAAAATTAATAAAGACCTGTAATAACCTGTTTCTGAAGAGAAAAATGCTGCACGTTTAGAGCCAAGAACGACTAGATTTTGAGTGAGTCTCGATATTCCTGGCACCTCCACAAGCAAAATATCACCAAGTGCAACAGGGATAAGCTCCACCTGAAGCAAGTTAATAATAAATTGTGTATGTTATTTATACAAAATTTACTCTATCGAGATCATGGAGTCTTTGAACGTTGCCAATTCGTGCCTTTTCTGCTGAATTCAATCCTCTGCTTTCACACTTAACTCGAAAAAGTTCTGAAACATTTTTTTTAATTAAATTCGTTTTTTTTTTAATTTAAATTGTCCTCACTTGATAATCTAAAAACCGTATCGAAGTCTGCGCACAATTGAGTTCCGCGAGGTTCTTCGATGGTCAACACAGTAATTTTCAAGCTCAGCCCTTTTTCCTCCTGAGGACGAAGGGCGTCGATTTTGTTGTAAGGCAGAGCAACGCGATAGACCTGCGTCGTTTTCCACCACAAAGGCAGGCCAATCTGAATAAAAATGTCAGTTAGGCAAATTAAAATCTGAAAGGGAAAAACTAACTCCGATGAGGACTACGGCAAAAGCTACGGCGGCCAGCATTCGGGCGTTTTCCTCTTCCAGCTCTTCCTTCTCCGCCTTTTTCATCTCGGCCTTTTCCTTTTTGCTCTTCATCGTGGGCAAATCCTCCTCGACGACCATTTTCAATTCAGGTTTAGCGTTAGAATCTCAAGAAAATGACAAGACGTTCCATAATTTTGCATCGCCGGCTAAATGTAAACAAATCGACCGGCTGAATAAATGGGTGCGGCCGACTTCAAACCAAAAGCGCGGGAATAGAACGTGTCCGTTTGAAACTATTGTGAATTTGCAACAATGGAAACGTGTTTATAAATATTCTTTGTTGCGTCGTTTGACAATCAGTTTTCAGTGTCGATTCTTGGCTACTGGTCGTTTTTCAAACTTTCAGAAGAAGATTTTTCAATTTTTTCTTTTTATCCGGCTGGAAGGAATTTTTACACACAAGAGGGTTAAGAATATTATGCCTAATAGCTGCGCTTACCTGCAGTTCATAGACGATCTGAGAGAAAACGAAACCTTATGTAACGCAACTGTCGTCTCGAAGGACGGGACCCCTTTCAGGGTCCACTCGGCCGTCCTTATGGCCTGCAGCGAATTCTTCAAGTAAGTAAAAAAAATTCTTAATTTGTTTATTTCTCACGTCGTGTTAAAATCCAGGGCCGCATTCGAGTTCGGTCCTCGCGAGGGCACCAAAGGCGTGGAAAAATCGGTCGTCCGACTGCCCACCATCAGTTCGGACATCTTGTCCAGCATCGTCCGCTACGCCTATTTAAAGGCAATCACACTCACCTGCGCCAACGTGTGGAAAACTCTTCTGGCCGCCGACTTCCTGCAGGTGGGCCAGCTCAGCCGGATGTGCTGCGAGTTTATGAAGGAAAACCTGACCCTCCCAAAATGCACCAAGATCATTGAAATGACCCAGGGGTGCGAAAATTAATAAAAATTAACAATTTTATTTTACTTTTAAATTAATTTTAGGAGCATTTACATGCCAGCGGTGCACGACATGGCGACGAAATTTGCGCTGCACAATTTGTGCAAGCCGAGCTACAAAGTGCGCAACCAGCAGAGGGCGGCCCTCGAGCAACTGAAACCGGAAACGCTGCGTGCCCTGCTGAAGGACAACGTGCTGAACGCGCCTCGCGAGCAGTACGTGTGGGAAACGGTGGTCGAATGGCTTGAATCGAGTCCCGAGCAGCGTACGCAGTACTTGGATCAAGTTCTGGAATTAATCAGAATTGGCCTGATGCCCAAGAGCTACGTCTCCCACAACGTAATTTCAATTTCGTCGGCTGCAACCCGACGAGTTTGTTTTTAATGGCAATTTTGCGTTTAATCGATGGAGATATAAAACTAGGGCTATTCAAAATCCCTCTGAACCCCACTTAATCCAAAAAAAGCTTAAAGATTCTATAAGGAATCGATTAAGTTTTTTGTTTAAAGTCGATTCAAATTTTATTTTTTATTTTTGCAAAGATGAATTATTTTTATAGTCATAAATTAATAAATCAGAAGTGTCTTTGTTAAAACAATATCTGAAAAAAAAGATCATTTTAATGTTTTAGAAATTGATTATTTGGAATTATGGAGAAAAATATATTACCATAAAAAAGATTTCTTGAATAAAAGTAATTTAAGAGTTTCTGAATAGCCCTAAATGTTTTGTGGCAGGTTCTGGGTCATCCGGCAGTGCAGAGCAGGCCCGATTTGGTGCGGCAAGTGCAGGATTTGGAATTGGCAGTGGACCAACTGCTTGCGGAGGAAATCACCGAGGGCACGGAAATTCTGGTGGCGGTTCAGCCGCGCTTGCCCCACACGGTGGTGCTCTCGGTCGGAGGCTGGGTGAACGGCGCGCCGTCCCTAGAAATGCAACTCTACGACATCAACGCCGACGCTTGGATAGAGGTACATATGCAAATTATAAAGAAATATATTTGCATAGGTTTTTAAAATAAAGTGAATGATTTTACTTACGCGGAATACAAAATTACTCAGGCGCTGAATTCTCGTAAGAGTTGAAAGCTTTCCTTCACTTTCTGATGCTCACTGCGCGTCTTTTTAATATTTCAAACTTTAATATGCACTGAGAGTCTCTTGTGTATTGGAAGCTTTTAAAACACGCCGCCGACGTTATAAATTCGGGGCGCCAAAATAAAAGTAAAAAGCTTCACCTTGCGGATGAATTATTTATCATAAATTACATCAGCAGTGAGTTGGCACAAAGCAGATGCGGCGCGCCATCGAAAAATGGTTAACGCTGGCGTTGTTTGCCAATGATGTATCGGGATAAGTATGAGAGAAACAGCGTGCGTTGTGTGAAACAGATACGGTTGCAAGAGCAATTCTTGGCAAAGTGCGGCCGTTGTATGCTCAAAGTCTCAAAGCCATAACTATTTTGTGATGTGCACTGCAGTTGCTGATGATTTGAAAAAAATTAATAATTATATCATTGTTAAGTTCTATAATTTTTATTGCAAATTAAAAAAATAGTAATTAAAGATTTTAATTTCTTTTTTTTTGTAATTTTCATCATTTAAATAACTAAAAATATATTTTGAATTAATAGTTAAATTTAATAATATTTTTTTGCAAGGTTTAATAATAATTAGATAAGGTAAAAACCACAAAAAAAAAAAATAAATTTGATCTCCAGTGAGACAGTTTCCTGATTGAAATTGTTATCTGCAAAATCTATGTTCAGTTGTCATGTGGAAATTTGATTATATATTTAATAATATTATATTTCATCATTTTCATTTAAGCGTGATTTGCCTTAGCAAGTCAAATTCTTATATTCATGCAGAAAGATTAAAGATAAATAGGAACGATTATAGACAAACATGCAAAGCTTTGTTAGATTTGGTGGAGTTTGTAGAATAATAATAATCAGTTGAGCCAATCTTTTTAAATTGCATTTAATGTACCATTTTAATTGAAATCAATTTTTTTTTTTTTTTTTTTTTTGACAGGTTGACGTGTTGGAAAGCAGAAACCCGGAATACACGATGGCCTACCACGGGCTGGCCAGGCTGGGCGACGACCTGTACGTGATCGGCGGCACCGAGAGTGGCACTGACACCACTCGCTGCCTCAAACTGAACCTGCAAACCTTTCAGTGGGAGTTGGTCGCGTCACTCACCCAGTCCAGGCACATTTTTAATTAAAACACCCTCGTCCGTTTTTCAACCCAAATTTCAGGGATTTCGTCAGCGTGGTGGCGCTCAACGACCGCATCTACGCCATCGGGGGCCGCTCCTATCCGCAGCACCCGCGCAACTACTCGGGCGAGTTTTACGATCCGCAGACGAATGCGTGGCACCCCATTGCACCCATGCACCACTGCAGGTCGGACGCAGGGTGCACCGTTTACGCAGGTAATTAAACGCGCAACCCCTCGGCAGCTTTTGACTCGAGAAAGGCTTTTAAACTCGCTGCAAATCCTTGTACAAACAAAAGGATTACGCACTGGCGCACTTTTTCACTTTTTTACTCTAAAAAAGAGCTTTTGCAACGCTGGAAGTTATGCTTCATATTTTCCACGTGCGTATATACATCAAGCGGGAGAAGAAAGATAAAACATAATTTATGATGCCGAGAGATAAATTTCTATCCCGTGTTCGCTTAGGCAAGATTTACGTGGTGGGTGGATTCACTGGCGAGACCGTGCTGTCTTCGTCCGAGGTTTACGACCCGCTGCTAAATACTTGGGAGCTGCTGCCCGAGATGATCACGCCTCGCAGCGGCGTGCGCTGCGTCACTCTCCGCAAGCACATCTACGCAATTGGTTATTTATTATTATTGCGGTCCGATGTGTGTATTTATCGATAAATTGCACGTTCAGGCGGCTTTTCCGGCAGCGTCAGACTCGCCAGCATGGAGAGACTCGACCCCGAACGCCTCATCTGGATCCCAATGGAGCCCATGCTGACGCCCAGAAGCAATTTGGGCGCCGCCGTGGTTGGCGACGAGATTTTGGCCATCGGAGGATACAACGGACGCTCCGTGGACAACTCAAATGAAGTGTACAATGTTTTTGAGGACAAATGGTAAGAAAATATTTTGATTTAGTATTTAATTTATTATATAAATTAAAGCAAAAAACTTCAAAATACAAATTACAGTTAGGTTAAATATTTCATCTAAAAAATAAGCATATCTTCTGTTTATATTTATTTATTTTTCGGTTATAATATAATAAAAAAATAAAAAAAATAAATAAAATAAAAAGTTGATTTTAATTAACGATTATTTCTCATAAAATTATATTTCTATTTTATTTATTCGTGTTTATATTTTTAATTAAATTTCTGAAACTATTAATTTGATAAAAGTTTTATGTTTCTTAAAAATATTTTGTTTATAATTGTTTATCCCACATTGATATAACTCTAAATTTAAAAGTTATTTTTAACCATGAATTTGATGGATTCGTACTTTCGTCTCTATATAGTTATTTATAAATGCACAGATTTTATTTCATTATAATTAGTGAACAAAATATACATTATTATATTTTAATATTTTGTAAAATATAATATTGTTTTTTGCAATAAAATATCTTGGAGCTCTTGAATTAATTGTCATCTCCACTATGAATCCATACAGGTACAGTTTGGCTCCCCTGCCTTCACCTCGCTCAGCCCTGAACGTCGTGTCCATCGAGGACTCTTTCGAAATGGCGCTGCGTCTCATGGGGCCCAATCGCGACCTGCCTAAGTTGATCTGCCGCGATCGAGATGCCCACAGACCCGAATACGGCTCTCGACTGGCCCCGCACGCAGAACTACCAGCAGGACAGCCGCCGTCCTACTCCGAACTGTCGGACGAGTTGGACTCGGATTGGCAGGAAGTGGCGGACCCTTTCGGCCTGGCCTTGATTTTGCCGGCGGATGACGAAGGAGGCGTTTGGGGTCCATTGCGCTTTTTCGTGGACCAAGTCCAGGACGTGGAAATGATGGACATAGACGGTGAGGACCAAGAGTGGGAGGATGGGGCGGACGACGGAGAAGACGAGTTCGAAGACGACGACGATGAAGACCAGGGTGACGATTTTTAGATTCGTTTTGCAAAAGTTGAAATAAAACTTTTGGCCAAGAAGATTGAATATAATGCTTTTTATGGTGCCCAAATATTAACAGGCGAGTTGGATAAAAGGACCTTTTAGTCTCTTCTTTATTATTATTTTTATTATTTTTTTAACAAATGTGCATCCAAGGCTGCAAAACGATCGGCCGTAAAAGCTGCTTTCCGCGAGAAAAAGCGTAGGAGCGGCGATAAAACAGCGTCCCCGTATCGCTGGCAGGGTTGAGCCATCGCGGGGCATAATCACGTCGTGATCATTACCTAGCACGTTATTACACAAATCCAGACAAATGATGATTCCCATTTTTCTATTTGTATTTTAAGCCCGCATTTTAGATGATGATGCCTCGGGCAAATCCCTCGTCGTCCCGCGCCGCGGCGTCATCCGCGACGAGGGCTTTCCACCATACAAATGTCTTTTCAGCGTGTGTGCAATTTGTCTCTTTATGGTTTTATGCAGATCCCGTGGCACTCTCGGTGTGTGTCGTCAGGATTAGGACGGGAGCGCTCGTACGCACGCCAGACAATCGCTCAAAATTTACAAATCGTCACGACGAGTGAATTTTGATATTGCGACCTCGGGCCTGATTTCTTTCCTATTTAGGCCCAGCTTAGGAATGGGCATCAATAATTTAGATTTTTAACGTTTTTCGGAAAACTTTCATTATTAATGATGATGCGGACAAATAAACAACAATAAAAATGTAACTTAAAAATGTTAATTAAGATTAATTCCTAGACAGGTTACCTATTTGAATAATTTAAAATGGAAGCTAGTCATAATATTTATAATGAACTTTCGAAGAATATAGCACTGAAGTCATTATTCACTCTAGAACTACCAACTTTTATGAAAATAAGTATTACCTTGTAATGAATAATTTAAAATTGTAAGCAAAAATTTCTTTTTCTAGAGTTTGAAAAATCCTAAAAGTCATGAATCAAGACTTCGATCGTTTTATCACTTAAAAGCTTTTCAATAATTAATTCAGTATGTTCTGCGTATTTCCCAAAAAAACATTTAGAATAACTGGGAAAAATACAGACAAAAAGCACCGACACAATCGATGCCGGAAATATGGGAAGCGGCGCACAATATACGCAGAGAGTTTGTGGTCCCCTGGGTGCCACCTTGTTTCTGCTCCGGCCCTCTCTCTGCACTCTCCCGAAAACAAAAACCCAATAATATTGATACTTCTTTTTGTTCGCCGGCTGCCACGGAATGTAAAAGGCTGCAATTTATGTGGCCATACGTACAACGCGACGTGCGTTGTATAAAAACAGACCCATAAACTCCAATTAATTTGCCGCACACGCGTCAATAAGCATTTGCGAATTTTTGCACCAGAATGAACACGAAACTCGCACTCCAGCAAACAAACAAACCGCACTCGTTCCGCAGCAATGTCCATTTGCCGTTAATTATTGCACGAGAGCAGCGATATTTTTCAACCGAGCGCCGTTTGCCAGCAAAAGGGGGAAAAATAATCAGATTTTTGCTGGCGAATCAAATCTGTTGGAATTTTGCAATTTAAAAAGCAGCTCACGTGATTTTCAAAGGCTCCTTCCTATTTGAAACTTTAGATTTGCTTAGAAATCAACATTAATTTCAATTTTCAGAGCTGAACTTCAACGGAAAGTTTTTGGAACAACAACTTCCAAAAGTCGGCGCATTTGTAAGGTCACACGAGCACGGCTTCTGTTTACCAAGAAGCAAATTGTTGCTGTCTTTTCATCTTCCGAGAGAGCAAGGCAGGCAGACAACTTTGTCCAATATTAATAGTTCGTTCTATGCACGCGGCAACTTTTTACTCTAAATTCACGAGGGCGAATCTCTTTATTTATTATTATTTTTCCATTTTTCGAGAGGAAGTGCGCAAGTCAAAAAACAGAACAAGCCCGCCCGCCTGCCCTAAAAATGGCAAAATGTTGAATGTTTTATGACCCAGCACCCCATCGGAAAGCTCTGAAAGTTGTCAAGAATTGAAAAGCTGCGTGTGTACTTTATAAATTTTGGTGGCAGAGAGAGAAGAGGCAAAAAATTTCTGCCAGGCTCCTTTGTGTTGCGTCTAGTTTTAGTTTTATGGCGTGGCGGTGGCTTTGCATAAGCGGAAAGGCGAAATCCTCTCGAGAGCTCAAAGTGCAACAGCAGCAGCGCGATGAGTACATTATTCTCTACTTATATGGAAACGCCCCTGGAGAAATATATAGAAGTCACACGCGCAAAAAAGGCCCTGGCTGCCATACAGACCTGACTAGCTATGCAACCGGCCGTGCATGCACAACGAGACCGCTGCTGACGGATATATGGAGATGCACTCGCAGCTTTGCAGGCGAATATTATTCCGCGTCCTCGTTTCTCCAACGCGACTTTTTTCGCGCCGCCGCGAGATCACATTCCCGGGGAAGGAAGCGAAAATAAAAGAGCGACTTACTTTGAACCCCAGCTGAGCCTGGCTGCTGCGTGGTTTACTATCAAGAATGTGTCGTGACAAGGGGCGACAATCTCACTTGCTCAAGGATTCGCCATCCTTTATTTTTGTAGGTCCTGAATTCGCAGAGGTCTTAAAGAGACAAGGGAATAATAGATTTGACTTTTAATTTTCGCTAGTTCAATGTGAAATTCGTCATAGTTTGATACTTCAAAATAATCAAAACACGTACAAAATTCTATAAATAAAATGATTTCATTTTTAATAACTTAAGGAGATTATTATTAAAAATTAAAATACTATTACCATTTCATTTCTAGTAAAGATCTCGTTTTTTATTTTTAGAAATCGACATGGGAAGTCAAGACCAAACGAAGTCGATTAAAATATGCTAATGTAAAGCAACCAAAATTTGATACATTACCAAATTTGTAATGCTGAATCGATTGTCTATGCAAAACAAATCCGAATTTCTTTAATTTTAAGCCTTTTTTCAGTGGCAAAAAAATGTACATAATGACAGTTGCACAAAGAAAGTTCATTTCATTGGATATAAATTTTTTCACAGATCATTTATTTAAAAAAAATCGTTAATATGAAATATTTATATTTGCAAATCCTTAATTTGTTAAAATTTCTGATATCTAAAATATTTCACTGCATTAAGAACTATAAATTTATATTTTTGACATTAATAAAAAAAACACAAGTAATTTTATTTCTAGTCGCTCAACTCAGGTGATACTGCAATAATTTAAGAATATGGAAGCGCTGCCTGTAGCAAAACAGTGCACTATGCAATCGCGCCCTTTTGTGCTGCGAATCAGGGAGAAATCAGGTGGGCGGAGTCAGTATTTATTTACAATGTGTCTAGTTATGTCTAGGTTATGCCGTGTGTCGCTTTTCTTTGCAAAATTCGGTCGAAATGAGGGGTTTTCGGACGAAAACAAGAGGAAATCCGGTCCAGCCCGGCGACATGCATCGGCCGAGATCAATTCAAGCTTCTTTCCCAGCGAAAACAGCAGGTTAGTGCCAATTTTAACCCGGTTTTTTACTCTCGCCAGATGTATCAATTTTTCTATTTTTATTTATTCGCTTCCTAAGCAATTTTTATTAGCATTAAACTGGTTTTAACCGAAAAATACACAGCAAGTGTCCTTTCTGTACAATCTTTGAAAACCTGCGTTTTGAGAGTGACCCGAATATCTGCCCATTCTCAGATGGGCAGTAAAAGTTTTTGTATACTGATTGTGAGTATCGTACGTCAAGAAAATAGCATTTATTTCTTTTATAATAAATTTTTTAAATTTCAAATAAATATTTCAATGAATGTTATCTAGAAGCATCAATCTATCATGCCATTGGTAGAAAAGTTAATATTTTTTTTTGCACTTGAATGCAGTGGCTTATTTTCAACGGGGGTCTCAATGCCTGTCTCTTTTTTATCAACAGGAAGTCGTTGACAGGTTAATTGTGACTTTGTTTTTTCCTCTCCACTCCTGTCCTGTTTGCGAGAAAAAAACCTTCTTTATATTAAATTTTAATTGCTCAAAATAGATCTATCTATGCATTTTAAGTCTATATTTTTTCAAAAAAATTCAAATTGCGGCTTTCCTACAATTTGTACAATAGCTGGAGCTGTACAAACCAGGAACCTTAACAAAATTTTATGCTGATATAGAAACTAATTAATATTAAATTTTACTTTCCAAGCACATGTAAGAGGAAATGAATCAACTGCAGGTGCTGGATAAAATTCGCATGCAATTTAAATTCTCAATTTCCACCCTCCCATACGATGTTCCGTTGTTGCTTATTGTGTCGAAAGCAGGAAAAGGAAATCTGCATTTTATCGCGGCCCAATCTCCGACTCGATTTTCTTTCCCGGCGCCGCTACATGCACCGCTTATGCATATACAATTTTCCTGGTCGGACCCGAATCTCCGGAAAAACGAAGCCGAACGACGACTGGAGAGGCTTCTCGCCGTCTTTTCATGAATATTTCAGCAGCCGGGCTTAATTATTATCTTTCTTGGAGATTCTTGCCTCGCTCGGATGGCGCCGAGAGCGAGCGAGAGATATAAAGTGAAAATTCATGAGGATTATACCCGCTGCGACTCTTCCTTTAGCGGCCGGATTAAATTAGCTTTTAATGAGTGATTACTGGGCAGATTTGCACGTGATAAATGCATTTGCAGCCTCCAGCACTCTGCGGGTGCATTCGTACGAGCGTTTAATCAGCAACCAAATGCAGATTGCAAACAGCGAGCGGCCTCCGATTTGCGACTGCCTGGTGCGGCCAAATAAGCTTGTTTGCTCATTCTGTTGATGGCGCGTGCGGATCGTGCGCCTCCTGCAGGATGCACTTTGTTGACTTATTAATTGCGTTTACATTTCATCACAGCAAATTGCTTGTTACACTGTTTTGTGATGCTACTTGCGATGCGCGTTTGTCAAACAAGGCTTCATCTTGAGAGAATCTCATAGAAGGTTTCACAATTTCAACTGTTGTTCGTTAAAATGGAATATTACTTGTTTGCTTTTCTATAAAATTATGTTAATAACACTGTGATTAATAATGAACTGAAAATTATGCAGCAATAGAATAAAATGTATACAAATGTTAAATCATAC